ATCGAGACACTGAAACATCGAAAACTTGAAAAATTCGAAAATCGAAAAACTGATAAATTCAGAAGATGAAGTATCGAATAATCGAGAAATTGAAAGTCCAAAAACTTTGGAAATGAAGAATTAAAAAACCAAAAAATTAAAAAACTTAAAAATGAGACTTCGAACTACATATTGCAAATCAAAAAACTGGAAATCGAAAAATTAAAAAACGAAAAACTGAAAAATAAAAAAATCCAAGTGAAAAATCGAAATATTGAAGCAAAAAATTGAAAAATTTGAAAGTTGAACATTGAAAAATTGAAGTATATTTTAAACTGAAATTCCAACTCGAATTTCTGTTATTCGAAACTGGAAAAACGAAAATTTGAAAAATTAAAAATGGGTGATCAGAAAAATCCAAAAACTGAAGAAACGAAAAACTGAAAAATCTAAAAAAATAAAACTGTTTAGTCAAATTCAACAGTTTGTTGGAATTTTAAACAATATTTTGTCCTCGATTTGTTAATAAAAAAGACAGGAGTTTTCGGCTTCAAGTTTTTTCAAAATCTCGGATATTATTTTACGAATTTTTTGAGTTTTAAAATTTACAAGTATTTTAATTTAAAAATTGTGAGAATATCGGCATTCAATAATTCCTAAAATGATAAAATTAATACGTTTTTTCAACAAAATTCATCTGGAATTTTTTTTTTTAATTTAGAAATAGAGCATTGAAAAAATAGGTCAAAATTTAAAAATTTTTCTTACATTTTGAAGACTCCAAAAGTGCGTCAACAGTTTAAGAGATATAGAAAAATTAAAACAGTAAAAATTGAAAAACTAAAAAATGGAAAAACTGGAAAATCTACTATTATTGGAAAAATGAAAAATTGAAAATTCGAAACACTGAACAAACGAAAAATTATAAAATCCAAAGAATCCTTAAAAAAATAACAAAAATGAAAAATCCAAAAAATATCTCAAAAATACGAGAAATCCGAAAAATTTGGAAAATCCAAATAAAAAAAAAAAACAAATCCAAGAAATCCAGGAAGTCCAAAAAAATTCAAACAAATCCTATTAATTAAAAAAAAAATCCAAAATATCCGAAAAATGCAAAAAAAATCCCAGAAACTCAAGAGATCAAATCATTTGAAATCCAATAAATCCATAAAACCTAAAAAATTCAAAAGATCCAAAAACCCAAGAAACTCAAGAGCTTCAATAATTTGAAATCCAAAAAGTCGGAAATTCTAAAAAGTCCAAGCAATACAAAAAAATTAAAAAATACATCCGAAATTTTTAAAAATTCAAAAAAAAAAACAGAAATCCACGCAATTACAAAAAATCCAAAAAAGAATCAAAAAAATCGAAATATCCAAAATATAAAAAAAATCAAACATACGAAAGGCAAAAAAAATCCAAAATCCGAAAATCAAAAAAACAAATAAAACGAAGAAATCCAAAAACCTAAGACACTCGAGAAATAAAAAACCCAATCCAAACAATCGAAAGAAAAAAAAATCCGAGAAATAAGAAAATTCGGAAAAATCGAAAAAACAAAATATTGAAGTTTAAAGTAATCGGAAAATCGGATAATTGAAACCCCAAAAACTGCAAAATTTAAAAACTAAACTAAAAAGTTGAGAAGCTGGAAAATCTAACTGGAAAAATGAAAAATTGAAAAATTTTAAAATCGAAGAACTGATAAATCCAAAGGATGAAAATTTTGAATAAACGAGAAATTGAAAAAGGGAAAAAACAAAAACCGAGAAACTGAAAAGTCGAAAAATCCAAAAAACTGGAAAAAAGAGAAATTGAAAAGAAAAATCGAAAAATTGAAAATTTCTCAAGTCAAAAATATCGAAATTTGAACATTTAAGTGAAGAATTCCAAATCGATTAATTGAAAAACTGAAAATTTGGAATATGTTAAATCGAACACTTAAAAATTCCAACTCGAACCACCGAAAAATCGAAAAATTAAAAACGCGAAACTGAAAAATCGAAAGTTTGAAAAACGAAAAATTCAAACAATAAAAATCAATAACCAGAAAAATCGAAAAATTCAAGAAATGAATGATTGAAAAGTTTTCAGGAAGTTTAAGCAATATTTTTTCCTCGATTTGTTAATAAAAAAATAGGATTTTTCAGCTAAAAATTTTTTCAAAATCTCAGATATTATATTACGAAATTTTTAAGTTTTTAAAAGTAATTGAATAATGGAATGGTGAAAATTTCTAAAATGATAAAATGAAACTCTTAAAACTTTTTTTTAAACAAAATTTATCTGGAATTACTGGAAAAAATACCTCAAAATTTAAAATGTTTTCTTACATTTTGAGCCTCCAAAAGTGCGTCAACAGTTTAAGATACAGAAAAATTGAATAGTAAAAATTGAAAAACTAAAAAATGGGAAAACTGGAAAATCTACCATTTACTGGAAAAATAAAAAATTAAAAAATCGAAAAATTGAACAAACGAAAAATTATAAAATTCAAAGGATCTTTGAAAATATAACGAAAATGAAAAAATCCAAAAAATATCTCAAAAATAAATCCGAAAAATCCGGAAAATTAGGAAAATCCAAATAAAAAAACAAATCCAAGAAATCCAAAAAATCCAAAGAATTTAAAATATGAAAAAAAATTCAAACAAACCCTAAAAATAAAAAAAAACAATCCAAAATATCCGAAAAATCCAAAAAATGCCCAGAAACTCGAAAGATCCATTAATTTGTTAAATCCAAAACATCCAGAAAATAAAAAAAATTCAAAAGATCCAAAAATCCAAGACTCTCGAGAGCTCCAATAATTTGAAATCAAAAAGTCGAAAATTCTAAAAAATCCAAAAAAATAAAAAAAATACAAAATAAATCCGAAAAATTTGAAAAATTCAAAAAAACAAGAAATCCAGGCAATTAAAAGGAGATTTAAAAAAAATCCAAAATACCCGAAAATGAAAAAAAAACAAATAAAACGACGAAATCCAAAAAACCCAAGAAACTCGGGAAAAAATCCAAGTAATCCAAACAATCGAAAGAAAAAAAATCCCAGAAATAAGAAAATTCGGAAAAATCGAAAAAGTACAAAACCGAAAAAACAAAATATTGAAATTTAAAGTAATCGGAAAATCTGATACTTGAAAACCCAAAAACTGCAAAATTTAAAAACTAAACTAAAAAGTGGAGAAGCTGAAAAATCTAACTGGAAAAATGAAAAATTATCGAAATTTGAACATTTGAGTGAAGAATTCCAAATCGATTAATTGAAAAACTGAAAATTTGGAATATGTTAAATCGAACACTTGAAAAATTCCAAATGAAACCATCGAAAAATCGAAATATGAAAAACGCGAAACTGAAAAATCGAAAGTTTGAAAAACGAAAAATTTGAAACAATAAAAATCGAAAAATTGAAGAAATGAATGATTGAAAAGTTTTCAGGAAGTTTAAGCAATATTTTTTCCTCGATTTGTTAATAAAAAAATTGGATTTTTCAGCTTATTTTTTTTCAAAATCTCCGATATTATATTACGAAATTTTCAAGTTTTTAAAATTAAAAGTAATTTAATAATAAAAAGGTGAAAATTTCTAAAATGATTAAATGAAACTCTTAAAACTTTTTTTCTAACAAAATTTATCTGGATTTTTTTTTAATTCAGAAATTTTGTAAAAATACGTCAAAATTTAACAATTTTTGTGACACTTTGAAGACTTCAAAAGTACGTCAACAGTTCAAGACAGAAAAATTAAAATAAGTAAAAATTGGGAAAGTGCAAATTTGCAAAATGAAAAACTCAAAAAATTAATAATCCAAAAATCGAAAAACTAAGAAATGGAGAAAGTGGAAAGAAAATCTAACAACTGGAAAAATGAAAAATCGAAAAACTGATCAAATCAAATTTCCAACAATTAAGAATTATTGACTTATTTCCTATAGAACTTTGTAAAAAAAGTCCAATATTAACACCAACTGTTTAAGTCAACACCCAGGAACTGGATTTGATTGGCGCATTCTAGTAACATTCCCAGCCACGCCCACGCCAACATTTTGACCTCCCTTCTCCATGAACATAAGAACTAATTTGGCTTAAATTAAACGCGTTAAATTCAAGACAACGTCTTATCATGTTTATAATTAAATCCGTTTGATCAAAGGTCAAAGACTACTGTGACATTAAGAAATAAATGTATGTACATATACACATTGTGCATATAAAATCAACACGTCGTAGATACGTTGTCGTTAATTGTGTGCACTAAATTCAAGTTAAGTGTTGTGACCTGAATTTAGTACAAACACTCATTTCAACTCCTCCAATATTTACTTTTTATAAAACTGCAATTTAAGAGATTATAAACGACGAACACTTATCGGACCTCATCGAACTTCGTGAATTACAAAAACGCGATTTTCTCCATAAAACGATTTCAAACCAGTGTAAATTCTCGTTTCTGTAGAAAGTTAAGACGAGTCGATCAATTACCTTCATTCCCAATACGGTCCTTTCGAAACCAGCTCGCACCAAGTGCGTCTGGTTACAAAACATCTTAAGTTTTCAAAAATTTCAAAATTGCGAAACGGTAAATTGTCAGTGAGTGAGTCAAAGAGAAATTCTTGTTTAATTTAAAACATGCAACACAAGATAAGAAAAACCAACAAGAGGATTGAAATGCATGAAGGGTCATGATTTCATCGTGACTATAATTTAATCAAATAAAGTTAAGGAAGAGGAATGCTATTTATCTTCATAGTAAGTCGAATATATTACTTGAAGACCGACCACCCGTGAAGTAGCGGTTTATGATCTATTGTCGGTTAATTTGGCTCGTTTTCCCAATTGGGCTAATTGGACACACGGTTGCCCACAATTTCCATAAGCGAGTCGAGAGGTTCCTGACTCCCTCACACGTTTTCCGAAAAAAGTGCATCTATAAACGTCTACAGTAAACATCAGTGTTTACATGTACTTTTCCTGGCATGACGCATCCAAAAAACGCCGTCTCCTTCCTCCACCTACCCTCTTTAACTGAGTATTCATGATATTGTGCAGCTCATTCCGGATGATGGAAAACTTGATCAGGGTGTCCGAGCTGAAGATGGAACTGGCGAAGGCCAACCCCGGGTAGTCGGCGCACCTGCGTCCTCTCCTCCTCGTCTCCCTCTCGGCCACGACCTCCGTCCGCTCCGACGTGCACCTCAACTTCGACAGCTCCTCGATCTCCGGGTCCTCCACTTCCTCCTGGTCGCTCTGGCTGGAGCCCTCGGCCGCCGGCCGGTACACCGTCGACATGTCCCCCACCTGGGGGGGCTTCCTCAGCCTCTCGTTCCGCTCGTCCTTGCGCACCTTGTCGCTCGCCTCGTCGTCATTGGTCAAATCTATCACTTCGCTATCACAAGCTGGGGGCTTCGAGGCACTTTGCATCACATTTTGTTTCGCACTGTAGGGGCTCAGTGGCGGGTCGGCAGGGGGGGGCTGGTCCAGGGCGGCCCTCCGTCTGTTGCTGTCATTGCGAGGATGGTGTTGGTGCCCCCTTTTCCTCGGGTTGCCCGGGCCGGCCCTTTGAGACATCGTCACTTAGACGTCTTCGCTGCTGGATCACATTCCAACGCAGCCATTTTGGTTGCACTACGACTACTGAAAGTCGAGCGCAGTGGGCGACGGTGGCGCCAATGACAGCCAGGGTCGGCAACCACCAATACGTGTGGCAGCAATGCGGCGTGACGTCACGGGAGCGCCGAAGCGCCATATTTGGAAACGGATCGGGTTGCGCGGGTATTTTTAGACGGGTATTTGCGGCTTTGGAAACTTTCGACGGGAGGAGGGGGACTTCATTGACACAATCGACCATTCAGTCCTCTATTATTAAACCTTCACCTTAATAATATCGCGTTATGAAATTTGCCACAAACGGACATTCCGACGGACCGCCTCATTGGACTTACCGTCTGGAGGGCCTTCTCCTTCTCTTCCAGCTTCCCGTTGACCTGGGTAAGCTGCTCCTGGGTCTGGTCGAGCTCGTTCTCAATGGTCTGGATCTTCTTCTGGAGTGTACGAGCCTCTTCCTCGAGCTGTAGATGAAACGAAGAAATTGAAGAAAAGAGTGTGGAAGAGGAGATAAAGGCTTACTTTTTCGGCGCGAAGATTGGCGTCTTTGGCTTGTTGTTCGTTCTGGATGGCACGATCCAAAGCGTTGTCTTTTTCAAGCTTCATCGCTTGCATCTTCTTCTTGATCGCGTCCATGGCGGCGGCTGGATTTTATCTTGCGCGCTGGAATGAAGAAAGAAAAAAAATTAACTTTCACAGGTTGATTATTGATGATTGTGGTCAGGTTGGCAACATATTTAAACACTTATGATGCCAAACCTGACTGTCAAAATGAAATTTAGGGCACCGTGAATTGACACTAGTGCCAATAATTCAGAATCACGTTATTGATGTGTATATATATGTACATATATACTATTTCGAGGCTAAATTCCAGAAATATGTTCTCTTCAGAGAGATCAATTTATACCTTCAATGTATAGATTTCTTTTTCACTTTTTTCAAGCTTAGATAACTTTTTCATTAAACGTTAAACTCTCGGAAAATGTTCCAGTTAAATTTTCATACTATTATCATCTTTTTATTATTTCTGCGTTTTTTTTCTAAGTACCTGCTAAGATAAGACTGATTTTGGCTAATCAGATATTCTCTAAGCAAAAAGAGGGCGGGTGGGCGGGGCTATTTCTTTATAAGATAGAACTGATTTTGCCAAATGAAATACCTTCTAAGAAAGGAGAAGGGGCTAGTAGCTGATAAGATAAGAGTGATTTTGCCTAATGCCATACCTTCTAAGAAAAGAGAGGGTGGGTGGGCGGGGTTAATATCTGCTAAGATCAGACAGATTTTGGCAAATGATATATTGAAGCAAAAAATTGAAAAATTCGAAAGTTGAACATTGAAAAATTGAAGTATATTTTAAACTGAAATTCCAACTCGAATTTCTGTTATTCGAAACTGGAAAAACGAAAATTTGAAAAATTAAAAATGAGTGATCAGAAAAATCCAAAAACTGAAGAAACGAAAAACTGAAAAATATAAAAATTTAAAACTGTTGAGTCTTCGATTTGTTAATAAAAATGACAGGAGTTTTCGGCTTCAAGTTTGTTCAAAATCTCGGATATTATTTTACAAATTTTTTGAGTTTTTAAATTTAAAAGTAATTTAATTTAAAAATTGTGAGAATATTCAATAATTTCTAAAATGATAAAATTAATACGTCTTTTCAACAAAATTCATCCGGAATTACTTTTTTTTTAATTTATAAATACAGAGTTAAAAATTGGTCGAAATTTAAAATTTTTTCTTACATTTTGAAGACTCCAAAAGTGCGTCAACAGTTTAAGATATAGAAAAATTAAAACAGTAAAAACTGAAAAGCTAAAAACTGGGAAACCTGGATAATCTTAAAATGATTGGAAAAATGCAAAATCGAAAATTGAATAATGGAGAAACTGAAAAAACGAAAAAACAAAAACCGAGAAAGATTAAAAATAAATACGAGAAATCCGAAAAATTTGGAAAATCCAAATAAAAAAAAAACAAATCCAAGAAATCCAGGAAATCAAAAAAAATTGAAATATTTTAAACTGAACTTTTGAAAATTCCAACTCGAATTTTTGATCTTCGAAATTTGAAAAACGAAAAATTGATTTTTTTTAATTTTGCCAAATTCAACAGTTTGTTGGAAATTTAAGCAATATTTTTTCATCGATTTGTTAATGAAACAAGAAAAATAGGAGTTTTCGGCTTTAATTTTTCTTTTTTTTTAATCTCAGACATTTTACGAAATTTTCGAGAAAAATTATAAAATCCAAAGAATCCTTAAAAAAAATAACAAAAATGAAAAAATCCAAAAAATGTCTCAAAAATAAATACGAGAAATCCGAAAAATTTGCAAAATCCGAATAAAAAAAAACAAATTCAAGAAATCCAGGAAATCCAAAAAAATTCAAACAAATCCTATAAATTAAAAAAAAAAAAAAAAAATCCAAAATACCTGAAAAATGCAAGAAAGCTCCAGAAACTCAAATCAAATAATTTGAAATCCAAAAAATCCACAAAATCCAAAAAATTCAAAAGATCCAAAAACCCAAGCTCAAGAGCTCCGATAATTTGAAATCCAAAAAGTCGAGGGTGGGTGGGCGGGGTTAATTGCTAAATGACATACTGTAGAAGAAAATGGAGAGTAGAACTTTTTTATAAGTCTTATCTTGGCAACTTAGTTTTAAAAAAATCTGTTATGTTAAGTCACTGATCTGTATCTTTATTTATTTATTTATTATTATTATTAAAAACTAATAATTAATAAAAAATAAATTATTATAATCTACAAGGTCATGGAAGAAGATCTTGAAAGTACTATATTCTTCACAAACTAAATTTGTTCATTAATAAAAAAATTCAATTTCCAATAAAAATTTTTATAATTTTGGAAATTTCTTTCTACCATATAAAATTTTATTGACAATAACGAGACGAACAATAGTACAATAGCAAGAGATATTTACAACTTGAAGTTATCGCGTGCCGGTAATCCCCAGATGTTAGAAAGCAGAATAATCCAGGGCCCATCGTTACTCAAATTTCCAAAACTATAATACAAATCGAAAATCTATAGTTCCAGCACCTTTGTAACATTATATCAGACTAAAAGTCGTTCGGAAATCTTCGGAAATATTCGGCAGGTGGTGCCAACAAAGTTGTCAAAAGCTCAAACTACATAGTTCCAGAATCTTTTATTTTGATCAAATGACTCAAAATATTCATAATATACAAGCACATGTGAAAAAAGCCATGAAAATATTATATCTTTCAGAAACTAAATTTGTTCATATGTAAATAAAAAATCGAAGCCGAAACTTCCAATATATGTCTTATTTTCACAAAATCTGCACTTCCAATGCTTTTGTGATATTATATTATACTGAAATTTGTTCGGAAATCTTCGATCGGCTTCGGAAATGCTTCAGAATTTTGTAAAAAGCAATAGGAATGGTTCGGAACTCTTCGACTGGTGTTGGAAGTTGTCCGGAAATATTCGGCAAATAGTGCCAACAAAGTTGTCAAAAACCCAAAGTACATACATACTTTCCGAATATTTTATTTATATAGTTAGAATGTACTGTTAAAATATTTTTATCACGTTAGTGTTGAACATTGTTTCTTCAATCAGATCAACTAAACTCTTGAAAAACGGCCACGATTTCTTTTTGTTCAAAATTTTCATAAAAATTTTCTGTAGAACTCACGAAAATTTATCTTTATAAATTAAATAAGAGATATCGATGATTAATAATAATAACAACAACAGAATTTACGTTATTCATTAAAAAAAATATATGGGGTTAAAGAATGGCCAGCTATAAGACCCGATTTAACCCCACTGGAGTGTGTTTTTACAGCTTCATTATAAATATTTATGTCAAAAAACCATCCAAAATAAAATAAAAAACACTAACATCTCTCATCATCATCACCCTTATTAGTTGAGAAATCGATATGCTGTAAAAGCTAAATATAATGACAAGTTGCGTGGCACAGGCCGCCCCCAATTTTCTATTTTTAAACAACCGTCACAATTTTTTTTCTGAAAAAGTAAACGCACATTTCATTGTCCATTAAAACGCAGTTTTTCAAAATGGCGAACTGTCACGTGATACATTTGTTTGACTTAAGCAGCATTAATCAATTTACCGGTGGAAATTTGAAGCGACAAAGTCAAGTGCTCCGACTATTCACAAAAAAGCTAAATTTTGAAATTCAAAAAGAGTCACAAGTTTCGAAATGGCTTAAAGGCTATATTTTGTTTGGTTAGATTAGGAAAACAATGCAAGTGTCAGTGTTACGAAAATTTAAATATAGAATATTCGCCCAGTTAATTCTGAAAATCGTTATCTAAATCTATGTTTACGCGTACTTTGTATATTGTTACAAAAGTCTGCCAAAAAATGTCAGTTCTAAAAATACGAGCAATCTGGCGATTATGAAATTCTAAAAATAGCAAAACATGGAAACGCGATGTTGTTTGGAAAAATTGTGTCCGAAAATTCGAAAAATTTCCTCCGTCGAGGAATGTCTATAGAACTGATTAACCCAAGAATCCACGTTTAGTCACCCAAGATAAGAACCACCCGTGCATGTTTTGATTCATAGGTCATGTCTGATCGGAAATCGCGTTGTTTAAATATTTGCGTGCTCATAGAAGGCTGCGACCACTATTATGAAAATAATCCAACCGTTTTCAGTGTCGACAATAAGCGGATGTTATTACATTCCAAAAAGCATAAACATCGCTCCTAAAACAACTTTCTGGTATTCCATTCCGCAGAAATGCAGTTCGCTTTGAATCAACGCTGGACAAGTCCATCGATGACTCCGACAACAAACGCCGACCTTGTAATACATGCCCAAATATGGCGAAAATCGCGCTGAAATGAAAACTAAAACTCTTGCGTAACTTTTCAGGCGGCTTTAAAAATAGAGCGTTTGTGTGCTCCCGATTCGGTTGGGCGTTTCGCGAAAAAAAAAAATTGAGCGGGTTTTGAAGAGGTTGAGGGCTTGTTTGAGTGTGTGGTTGTGGTGGTTTAGTAAAATTACTTAC